CCCCCCCCCCCCCTTCCCCCCCCCCCCCCCCCTTCCCCCCCCCCCCCCCAAAAAGTTTTTTTTTTTTTTTTTTTTTTTTTTGTGGTATGGACCTCTCACTGTTGTGGCTTCTCCCATTGTGGAGCACGGGCTCCAGACGCGCAGGCTCAGCGGCCATGGCTCATGGGCCCAGCCTCTCCGCGGCATGTGGGAACCTCCCCGACCGGGGCACGAACCCGTGTCCCCTGCATCAGCAGGCAGACTCTCAACCACTGCGCCACCAGGGAAGCCCGCGGATACCTCTCTTGTAGCTCCCTGAACTCCTCCTTCATGCTGGATGTCGTCATCATCACTGAATAGTTTGTGATCCTCTATTTAAGCTCTGGTAGACCGAGACTGCCATGAAGGGAGGGACAAGTTCTGTTATGGTTACTTTAATATCCCCAGTATTGCCCGGCACAGGGCTGAGCATGGATATTCAATAAATACTGCTTGAATGAGTTAATTTGTTTTCTTCGGAGGCCGAGGCGAATGAACCAGAACTATTCCAATGGAAGTGGCAGAAACCCAACTGGCACTGACTGAAACACAAAATAGAAAGTATTGGCTCGTGTAACTGAGTCAGTAATGCTAGCTTCAGGCATGTCTGGATCCAGGGGTTCAGTCTAGGTTTCCAGGAAACCTGCTTCATTCTCAGGCAGGATTTCTCTGGCGACACCAGACTTACATCTTTATAGCTATTAGGCAACAGAGCAGTGAGAAAGGGCTTCTTTCCCAATGGCTTTTGCCAAGGTCAGGGATTAAATCTCACTGACTTGGTTTAGGTTCTAGACCCACTCTTTGGCTGGGGGAGGGCAGGCACTATGGATTAACATTCCTGCTAAAGATGCATCCAGGGGTGGTGTTAGGAAAGGGGGTTGTTTACCAAAGGAAAATCAGAGTGCAGGGATGCTGGGCCAGTACAGGTGACAGACATCCTCCTACTAGGGACTAAAGCTTCCAGCAGGTTCTCTAAGGGGTGCATGAGAGCAAACAGTTTAAGAATCTCATCACTGCTCTTTTGTCCTCTCTGAAGCAGGCTCATGCTCTGGCCATTTTACAGCAATTAGGCCCTGTGAGGAGAGTTTGTCTTCCTTCCCCATCAAATGAGGTTTCTTAGGGTCCTCATTTACTCTACTGGTCTGCAGATGGTCTGCAAATGCTGAATTCAGATGTCAGCTTTTGAAAATATACTTAAAAAAAAATCTGTATTGGTCAAATCTATTAGGGTGAAAAATTGGAAACAACCTAACCTCCATCAGCAGGGGGTGGGATGTACAACTCCTGTTATATCCTTGGACTGGAATTCTCTGTGGCTGTTAAAAAGAAGATAGATCTATGTGAACTGATATAAAAAGATGTCATAATTGTATAAAGAATTAGAAAGTTCATTACAGTAACCTAAATGAACATCAGTAGGGGGACTGGTTAAATTAGCTATGCTATGTCTATTCTCTAGAATACCACATACGGTAGTAAAAAATAATGTTTTAACATGAAAAAAATCTCCAAGAAATGCAAGTAGAAACACTTGCAAACCACATACAGTACTTTTATCCCTGTAGTTACATATGAAGGGTAGGTCTTGTCTTTTAAAATAAATGGGTCGGGCTTCCCTGGTGGCACAGTGGTTGAGAGTCTGCCTGCCGATTCAGGGAACACAGGTTCGTGCCCCAGTCCAGGAAGATCCCACATGCCGCAGAGCGGCTGGGCCCATGAGCCATGGCCACTGAGCCTGCACGTCCGGAGCCTGTGCTCCACAACGGGAGAGGTCACAGCAGTGAGAGGCCCGCGTACCACAAAAAAACAAAACAAAACAAAATAAATGGGTCAAGGTTTTATAAATAATTCTTAGAAGAATTAGGGAAAATACTTTTTAAAATCAAAAATCATTTATAACTCTTCCACTTAAAAGATTATAAAAATTTACAAATGGAAGTGTCCCATGTTCCGCTCCCCAGTAAACTCCCCCCCAAATCTGTAGATAACAGCTATTAATACATGATAAATGTCCTTTTTGGCTATTCAAAAGTTTATATCGACATATCTATATATACTTATATGAGCATACCCATACACACACACTTAATAGAATAATGCTGCAAATATTGCTTTGCAACTTGTTTCCTTCACTTAACTGTATATTTTGGCCATCTTTCCATGTCAGTATATATGAATTCACCTCTTTTTATTTTTTTTGACTGTTGCAGTGTATTCCAGAGTATAGCTGTGTCATCGATCATCATGCTCTGTTGTAAGTAGATAAGGCAAGGAGCAGAATAAGCATAAGTGATTTCATTTTTATAAAAATTCTATATACATATATATATGGTATGGGATAGAGGGCCCAGAGGAGGAATTTTCACACCATATATATCTTTATAATGTTTGAAAAAGATGTTCGTAAAGATAATCTATTACTTTTCAAAAACAAAAACTAGTAAAGGGGTTTGTAAGATACTAAACAATGTACAGCTTTGCTTTTCAAGCCAGAATTTTTTTAAATGCCGTGTAGTTGTTACATGTACCATATTTTAACACACAAGAGTCCCTCCAGGTTAACTGGCCTAACAGGCTTTTCTGCAGGCCCTGGAATGAAACTTCTCCCCCATCCCTGAGCACATATTTGACCACGTTGTAAACATGTCAAGGAAAGGGGGGATTTCATCCCAATCTACTTTTAAATTCAGGTGTGCCCTCAGGAGCAAGTTCACAGTGACCCAGCCCGTGACTTAGATTCTCTGAGAAAGGCAGAGGCAGTACTGGGTTCTCACCACACCTCCACCACACTCTGAGCCTCCATGTGCCCCTCTATAAAATGGGGTTCTAGCAGTCCCTACCACATAGCTTAGGGTCCAATACATTCTAAGAGCTCCGGAACCCATTGACCTCTTTACTATGAATCAGGAATTTTCTAAATTCTGTGCAATCAGAACCAAATGCAGAAATAAACTGCCGGGTAAGGCTGCTACTGTGTCTGGGGAGCCCCAGTTTCAAAGGTTTGGGGCTCCACCGCCTCGATGTACAGTAGACAGCTCATCGAAGTGACTCACATATCTGTGCTTTAAAAATGTCAAATCATACTTGAAAATGCTTGGTGCTTTCGCTGAGAGATGTTCAACCCATGGGCTCAGCATATGTTAGCATTAATATAACCCTTTTTGCCTGAGGGTCCTTCAAGAATGTTTGTGGAGTTAGTGGAGATGGATATGCCTAAAATCAGATTTTTCCTTAAACGTCACACTGCAAAAGAATATTTAATGTCGTGGAGAATACCTGAAAAGTTGTTAAGTGAAAAAAGAAGATTACAAAAAGGCATGCCAAGTATGATTGCTTTTCTGATAAAAAATTCAAGTTTGTGTGTGTTTGTGTTAAAGTTGTAAAACACAGTCTCCCAAAGGTTAGCCTTGGTTATCAGGGAAGAAGAGACACTTGAAGGGGATTTTTATTTCATTCCTTGGGCATTTTGGTATTTTCCAAATATTCTATGATGACTCTTGCTTTTGTCCTCCAATAAGAATAAATATTAGGAGAGCTCCTTTCTACTTATTAGACGGGCTGCTGCCTAATTCGTGACTTGTTGAATAAAACCAATTAGACCTTCAGATTTACTCAGTTGATTTCTTAACACTCCTACTCAGAGCTAGTTCTGATCATACAACCACAGCCTCCTGAAGACAGATACTCCTCTCTAGCCACCAATCTCACATTGGCTATTGCAATTTAACAACGGAGCTCAAATTTGCCTGGTTGAATGGGATGTGATCCAATTTCCAATAGACAGTTCCTGAAGCAGAAGAAGTGGGTGTCCCTCTGTAGGCCTTTCTGTTTCAAGTAAGATCCAGATAAGTGACCGGCAAAGGAAACTTAAAGGCAGCTCACCACTGAGCAACTTCAGAGAGACCAGAGCTGGGAAAACCAGACACCTGCCCCACCCCCACCCCATCTCCAGCACCCACTGCAGACAACTACAAACAAGCTGCTCTTGTGTTTTCACTTCTGGTAGTAACTGTATAAATAAAATAGATGAATAATAGAGAGATGGATGGATGAACGGGTAATGATTGATAATCTTTTTAAAGAAGAAAAAAAATAAATATTAATAAAAACTTCACTGTAGGACATGAGATGTGTACTGAGAAAAGAATTACCTTGCTAAACATTTTCAGACTTTACCTGAGCCGTTAAAACAGGTCAGGCCTTGTCAAATGCTGGGGTCTTGGAGTCAAGCTGGCCTCTGGGCAGCAGGTAGGGGGCCTCCGCCTCTGTCCCACATCTGCCACTCCCTTCTCTGGCTTCATCTGGCCACATATTTGCTCAGCTGGAATGGCAGCAGTGTGGCCTGGCCAAGGCAGGCCTCAGCTGGCAGGACGGGTTTGTCTGCCCTGGCCTTTTCACCCAGAGGCCCACTCCTGTGGGTGAGAGAGGAGCAAAGAGATGAGCGCCAGGTGAGTGAGGCTCCCAGGACCACCCAAGAGAGAGGCAGCCATTCGATGGCTGTTCCTACTACACCTCTACAGGACCATGTCTGTCCAGAGCTGGATCCGGCCTCTAACCCTCCATGGCTCCCCAGTGCCCTCAGCACAAAGTCCAGCTGCTCGGCCTGGCACTGAGGGGCCCTGTGGCCTGTCTCCTTCCTACTTCCCCAAGCCTATCTCTCCCTCCTGTCCCCCCTTTTATTTTTTTAAATTTTGGCCGTGCCACACAGCTTGCAGGATCTTAGTTTCCCAACCAGGGATCAAACCTGTGCCCCCTGCAGTGGA